TGACCTTTCCCTGATTTCTATATCTCAAAGCCCCAGGATCTCAAACTTACAATAATTGTCTGGGCATGTTGACGTTTCTACTGTTTCTTCTAGTATCTCTCTCTCTTCGCCCCTCTCTCCCCCCCTCTCTCTCCTGCTCTCTCCCTAGCTTGTCCTCTGTCAGCAGGTCAGGGCAGGGGAGCTGGTGGGATGGCTGGGAGCAAGCAAGCTTCTGGAGAACGCTGGGCAGACCCTGCCCAGCACCCTTCCTCGCCCTCTAGGTGCTGGCCACCCTGTCCCCTGGGGCTGTGAAAGCCCCAGGGGATGGGCTTGGAGGTGGATGAGCGTGGCCAAGGAAGCCAGGGTTTAGATGCACCGCAGCCTGGGTCTGAGGGTCCCTGAGCGGAACAAGTGGTGAACACCACTCAGTTGGACATTCCGTCCACGCAGAGGTGCCTCCGAAGAGAGGCCTGGCAGTCTCCTTCTGGAAAGTCAGCCACGGAGAACCAGCCTAAGGAACCCAGTTCTGCTCTGGTACATGTTGCGTTGAAGTCGATCCCACGGGCTTGTTTGGGGGTGGGGGGGAGCAGGAAGTTCTCTGGAGTGGGTTTGGGGGACTTCTGAGATGGGGAGCCTTCAGCCAGCTGCCAGGTTGAACCCAGGTCTGGGGCGAGCAGGCAGGGAGCTGGGCACAGGTGCAAAGTATCCCAAGAAGACAGCATTTCCTCCCCAGGGCTGCTTGCAGGGAGCGGCCATGGGTACCAGGGGCGCCAGGCCCCACCCCCACCCCCACCCGGGGGCTGCAGTGACCTGGGCACAGGCAGGTTATCCTGGGACATTGGATTCTCTGGGGCTCTGCGCCTCCCCCAGAAGCTGAGCACCTGAGCTCACCCGCTGGAGCACTGGCGGTATGAACTAGTCCTGTAGTCTGGGGTGTCTCAGCCCAGCACAGCTTGCCCCTCCTCTAGAAAAGGGCCCCCCCGGAGTGCACAAGGGGGAGGGGAGCGAGGGTTATGGGAGGCACTCAGCCCTGAGGCCCGCACAAAGGACCGACCGCCTTTACATTAAGTGTAAACGGAAGTTGTGTACGCCTGAGGCTTTCCAAGATGCCCCGGTCCTGGGCTGGAAAGCCGACAGTGGTCAGGGTGCTTGAGGGTAGACATGGCGGCTCTGTGACTCTGCTTGCCCACACGAGGACCAGCAGCCGTGGCAGGGAGGGCGTGGGGCGCGCAAGTCGGGTCTCAGCATGTCTAATGCAACTGGCCCTCTTCCTGGCAGATGGCTGCCTCCGACAGGGAGCGCGGCTCTACAGCGTGCTCTGGCTGCATCGCACTGGGGCGTGTTACTCTCAGCTGAGCTCACCAGTCCAGAGCCAGGGTGCACAGTGCAGGCCCAGCGGGCACAGAGACCACTCCAGCACAGCCCCAGGGCAGCTTGCCTGCGCCCGTGCCCCCCCGAACGCTCACCCACTGCCTTTCTCGCCAACGAGTCTCTCCCCGGGTCAGAAGTTCTCCTCCGCCCGACAAGCCAAAGGAGTCACCGGCTGAGGAGCTGCCTCTCTTGGAGAACCATCCCGGCCCCCTCCCTGAGGCCACCAGAGCACCTGCCCAGGGTGCCCACTGCTCCAGGACAGTCTTCTCCGCAGGTTGGGCCCTGAGCCGCATGGGCAAGCTGGGCCGTGCTGGTTGGTACGCTTGGGGAAGGCTGGCAATGATGTTTAAAGAAATGAAAGCTGACCCACGGTGGTAGAAAAGGGCACCGTTTTATCCAACGCCAACAATGTCCACTGTCCAGGGTGTAGGGGGGAGGGACACGCTGTGGATTACATGCCAAGGGGGCACCCCCGTGCGGGCTGTGGCCACGGGTGGGTCCATTCTGCACCCAGCTGCCCCTCACTCGTCCCCCCCCCATCTTCTCTCCAATTCTAGCCCCTCAGTTTCATTGTGGCAGGAAGCGGGTGGTCAGTGTGCAGAGGGTGAGACCTAGACGCCACGTGTGCAGGGGACCCAGCCCAGCCCTTGGCCCAGTACTGGCAGTGCCCGGCACAGTTTGGAGCGGAGATGTTCACCTACACAAGCGTGCTTTCTTTCCACAACTGTGGGTATTCACGCACATATGTCCCCAGAACCTTGCACACACACACCCTTGTCCACATCTCCGACTCCATCACCAAGCTGACCATTGCTACCCAGACCCAGGGGGCCTTGGGGAATACTCATTGGCAGTCCATCAGCGGAGCAGACCTTGCATTTGTGAAGGGGCTCTCCTGGAGCGGACACTCGGAGCAGCGGGGAGACTGGGCCCAGTAGCTCAGCTCCCCCCCACACACACCCCAGCCCCACCTCTGCTCTGGGCTGGTGGAGAAGGGGAGGCTGAGAGCAAGTGGCCGACCTAGGGGCTCTGTCCAGCCTAGATGGCCTGAGTTGTGCCTGCCCGGAAACCCACCTATGGGCCTGCTCCAGAAGTCACCAGCAGGAGAATCAGGCTGTCCACGGATGCCTGTGGACCTGGCAGCCTCTCCTGGGGCAGGTGAGGGTCCAGCTTGCCCCTTTGGCCTCTTGCCTCCCTGGGCACAGCTTCCGGAGGGCAGTGTTGGACAAAGAGGACAAGGAGCTAGCCCAAGGCTCCAGGCCCCAGCTCCCACATGTCCGGCTCTCAGTGGATCTCACCCTCAGTGAGTTCCTCCTTGATGGCCTGTCTGTTGCGGACCTTGCAGTCCGGCATGTCGAAGCCGAAGTCGGCCCAGTCGTCGGGGCCGGAGGGCCCAGAGCGCCCAGGGATGGTGATGGTGTGGCGCACGCGGAAGTGCACAGCCTCCATGACCCGCTGCCGCTGCAGCTCGCCCGTGCTGCCCACCGCCAGCGTGGTGGCAGCATTGCTGCTGGTGCGGATCAGCTGCTGAGCCCCACTGTAGTCGTGGCCCTGCTTCAGGTCCTGGAGGCCACGCCAGATGGTCATGCGGTACTGGTCCGGGATCTTCAGGGCCCCCAGGTCCTGCGAGGACAAGGGCGGTGTGAGGGGGCCTGAGTGGGGCGGGCCAGGGCCTCCGCTCCGAGCCCACTGCAGCCCTGGAGCTTGGTGGACCGGGCCTGTCTGGAGGAATGGGAAGCAATGGGGCTGGACGGGCCTGGGTGGCTGTGGCCACCTTATGCTAGTGGGGGAGGGGAGTCTTGGCCAGAGCTGGGGGCCGTGGGAGAGGAAAGTGCTCTGGTGGAGCAGTGGCTACACGTTGGGCTGCTAACCACAGGGTCAGCAGTTCGAAACCATCAACCATCAGCTGTTCCTTGGGAGAAAGATGAGGCTTTCTACTGCCGTAAAGAGTTACAGTCTCAATAATTTATACTTTGTCAAGGGCTCAAGAGGGTGGGATGGTGGGAGCGAGGGTGTGTGAGGGGGGAAAGAGGCCCTGATACCAAGGGCTCAAGTAGAAAGAAAATGTTTTCAAAATGAGCTTGATACAGTTGATGTATGGATTGTTATAAGAGCTGTAAGAGCCCCCAATAAAATGGTTTATTAAAAAACTTAAAAAAAATAAAAGGAGTGACAGTCTCAGAGACCCACAGGTGCAGTGACCTTGGTTCGGTTTGGGAGAGGGAGAAGGGGAAGAACAGAGGGCATTTGCCCTTGTGGGGCATCTTCATCAGGTACTCAAAGCAGCCTGAGGGAGTGGGTCACTTTCCCCTCTACCCCAAGACTGAGAAGCCCCTCCTCTGGACCCCCGCTCCCCAGGCCCCCCCCCTGGGTACACAGACAGCAGAAGCACACACAGCACCCTGGGGAGGTGGTCTGCTCCTGGGGATGAGTCAGCAGCGCAGAGAGCAGCTGCACCGACTTAGGGGTATGGGTGGGGACTGGCTGAGCAGTTGGTCTGGCCCCTCTGACAACCCTGAGTCTCTGGGGCACCAAAGCTTGGGGCTGGAAGGAGCAGGAGGTGCCCCCAGCTTGGGCTCAGAGGGAGCAGAGAGAGGGGCTCCCAGGACTACCACGCTCCCAGAGGCGTGTCCCGGCCTCTCAGAGCTGGCGCGGAGTCATGTGAGCTGAGTGCGGGCCACGCTGAAAGCAGTAGACCAGCAGTCTCATTGAGGAGTCCCCGGGCAGTGCCAGAAGAGCCCTGGAGGCGCCATGGCTAAGCACCGGGCTGCTAACCCAAAGGTCGGTGGTTCAAATCCCCCGGCTTCCCCAGGGTTGAGAAAGGAGGCCGCCTGCATCTGGGAAGATGTCCAGCCTCAGAAACCCCAAGGGCAATTGTACTCTGTCCTAGAAGGTTGCTCTGGGTTGGGCCGGCCTCAACAGGGAGCCGTGCAGACAGCTGGTTGGCGGTTCGAGCCCATCCCCCTCAGTCACTGGGAACCCACAGGGTGCAGTTCTGCTGCGTCACGGCAGTGGCGGGGAGGGGGAGCAGTCACTACAAGTAAGAGCTGACTCTGGTTTCCTCTAGCTCAGTGGTTCTCAACCTTCCTAATGCCGCGACCCTTAACACAGCTCCTCATGTGGTGGTGACCCCCAACCATAACATGATTTCCATTGCTACATCATCACTGTCATTTTGCTACTGTTAAGAATTGGGCGACCCCTGTGAAAGGGTCACGACCCACAGGTTGAGAACCGCTGCTCAAGAGGATCTGTGATCGGAGCCAGGGGTGGCTGTCAAGTTCTCAGAGGGCCCCAGTGAAACCCCCACGCACCCACCCCTGCAACCAGGCACTGTGGTGCTGACAGTTGGACAGCAAACTCCTGGTGGCTCATATACCCCCATGAGTCTCCGTGCCTTGGAGACAGCAGTCCCATCTAATCAAATCCAGCGGACCAGTCCAGGGGTGGCCTTGCCATGGGAGGCCGGAACATGCCTTTCACCGGCAAGCTGCCCACTCAACTGCCCCTCACCAGGGTGCCTCCGGAGAGGAAGTGTCATGGAGGCTGTGAACTCTGCTAGTGGACGAGGGGCCCTTCCCGAATGTCCTCCTGCGGGCCCGGAGGGAGGGGACACCCTCTGCCGTCCTTTGGGGTTCGGGAGCTGCACAGGCATTTACCTCGATGGTGAGGTTCTGCAGGTGATACACGCTCTGCAAGCCCTGGGAGGTGAAACACTCGATGCAGTTGGGGCACCCCAAGCCTGTTAGGAAACTGCAGAGAGAGCGAAAGACAGG